TGGGCACATTGATTTACAAATCACCTGGTAATTCGGTACGACTTCTCTACAATCTAGCACCGTAGTAAGAACTGAAAAATAAAAGATGGTGAAATAGATCTGTTTGCTCAACTCTTGCTTGAAATTAGAACAGGTGCTTACCTAGAATGGTTAGATAATGAACTAATCATGACAGCTAATAAGAAATATATATAAGGATTCACTACTAGTATTGCTTTCCGCAAAAAAAAGAAACCCAGCAAACCAATATGCCTATCATATCCTTTAGAGTCGGAAAATTAATCCCACTAGTCGGATAAGTCTTGCAAGTACATTGTGTACTCAGAGTTTATTTACTCATGTTTCAGGTTCAGCTTGAAGAGTAGCTGTTGTGTGGAAGATTCTTCTGGTGGGCACAGACAGATCCTTATATACTACCGTTAGATGTTTATTTTAATTCTGCTGTTTAATTTCCGTACTCTGAACTCGCTACTGTAATAATATATTTTTAAGAACTCCGGTTGTATGAAATGGACTAAGTGTTGTAAATTCATTCTCATTATTGGATCTTGGAGAAAAACGTGCATTATTCGAGTTCTCTCTTGGGGTGTGCTCAATGAAATCCGCCGATATAGCTTACTTTCGGAGTGCTTAGTGTCTGGTGGAAGACGAGCGCCACCGAAGATGTGTTATTTTGGACGGTTCTACCACATATGTATAAGTTGTACCTAACTTGTCTTTTCATGTGTATGCTGGTTAACTTATTTGATTAACTTATGGTACCTAGTTATGTAACGAACTTGTGTTCTCATGTGTATGCTACCTAATGTGTTTGATTAAATTTTTGTTCAGAGTTATGTAACTAACATGTCTTTTCATGTGTATGTAATCTAACTTATTTGATTAACTTATTGTATAGAGTTATGTATGATCAATTTACTGTACTTAGTTTTATATTTATCACCCTATGTTAGATTATCATGTTAGTTTTTGCTATTAAGTTATGTGTTTTTTTATAACTTTGTTCTTTTTGTATTTATGATTTTTAAATATTAAATATTTTGCGGATCTTGCAATTGAAGACATAGATACTGAATATCATAGTTGTATAAGCTATGCAAATCTATTTTGTAACTTGTTATTGAAGTTTGCATCATCTCATGGGATTTTGTTTTGTAGTCTATGGTGTAAAAGTTACTTTTAATTTCCTCTCCCAGCTTTTTTAAACCCTTTTCATATTTCCGAATGATTAGTTCCTGAAACGAAAAGAAAAATGCTGATGAAATCTAAACAGAATGTTCTATAACTTAGCACGCTTAACTTATACCTTCGAAGTTATGCCGTGTAACTCAGTTTGTTTAAGGAGGTGTTTGGTTCTTTAGTCGCTCCTAAAATTCATGTCACATCGCATGTTTAGATACTAATAAAGAACATTAAATATATATTAATTACAAAACCAATTACATAGATGGAGGCTAATTTACGAGACAATTTTTTAAGCCTAATTAATATGTCATTAGCACATGTTACTGTAGCACCACGTTGTCAAATAATGGGCTAATTAGGCTTAAAAGATTCATCCCGCGAATTAGTCGTAAGTTGTGTAATTAGTTTCGTAATTAGTCTATATTTAATACTACATACATGTGTCTAAATATTCAATGTGATAGAAATTTTAGGAGAGCCTGTAAAACCAAACAGGGGCTAAGTTATGCGGAAGAGGAAAGAGAACGACACGTTCGCGTGCACGCGCGCGAAAAGAAAAACGAGACTGACGCGTTCGCGTGTGCAAAAATAAAATAAAACGCCTGTTTGGAGAAAGTTGTGGGATTTGTTTATTCATAAAATGGAAATTGCAGCTGCTGTCAGATCGTTCGCCCGACCGTAATCGAGTGACCGTTCGCGATTTAGTGGCGTCGCTCCATAGGCTTCCTCCAGCCGGGGCCCATCGCTGTTGCTCGTGCACCAACCGCGCCGCCGCCAGCCGAGGACGCCGTCCTACTCTTGTCCTGTAGCTTGAACTTGTCAAGTGGCCGGCCTGCCCGGCCAGTAGGCAGTAGACTCGGACTAGGACCACCCGAACTGGCCCCGTCCGGAACCAACGACACACTTGATGCCCAGCTAGGTGCCTTTGCTTGAAGTTGAACAGGCTCGTTCCGCCAGACAGACCAACGACACACTTGATGCCCAGCTAGCTGCCTTTGCTTGAAGTTGAACAGGCTCGTTCCGCCAGACAGACCAACGACGATTTCTGGCATTTCCGCTGCGGATCGAATGATGAGCCCGTCAAGTTCTGGGCACACTGCTGACCGCAAACCACGCGAACATTTCGTGCTAGACTAGACGCATCTGCTCTGCGCCTCCGCCGGCGAATGAAGACTGGTAATGCACGTGCTTCTGCCTGCGAGCAAGTTGCTGGAGCTTACCTCGGCGCATCGTATGAACAGTCCGACGAGCGACGCTGTCCCGAGACCGTCTCGAACAGGCTATGCATAAGGCCACCTGTACTCAAAATTCATGGTGCACAGTAAAAAAATCCTCCTCCAACAGACTACGCAATCAGACTATCCATTTTGCGTGGGAGAAGAGAGGGAAGTCAAATAAGCGTCCTCCCGACGCACGACCCAAATCTCTGGCGCGGAGGGCACGGCCGTGGGGCGCAGCGGCGAGGAGACGACGGGCGGGCCGGGTGGCGTGCTGAGGTGCACCGGCGTGTGGGCGGACCCTGAGCCAGGGCTGGGCGTGCCCCGCGCGACGGCGAGGCAGGGTCATGCGGCCAAGAGAGAAAAGGGAGAGAGAGAGAGAGAGAGAGAGAGAGAGAGAGAAGAGAAGGAGAGAGAGAAGGCAAGGCGAAGGGGGAAAGAGAGGGAGATCGAGCCGAGGCGCAGGGCGGCGGTGGGCGCCGGTGAAGTGGGGCTCCGGCGGCGGCGGCGCTCTGCCCTGGTGCGGCGCGGAGAGGAGATAGAGAGCGACGGGGAGAGGGAAGGAGAGGGCTTGGCGCCGGCGGTTCGTGGCCACGGCTCCAGCGCGGTGGAGGGTGCCGAGTGACTCCGCGCCGTGTCGAGCTTCGGCGGTCGCGCGGGGCAGAGGAGGCTTCGGCAGCGGCGGCGCTAGGGACCTCGGCAGGCAGAGCCGAGTGCGGCTCTGGCTTCGCGAGTTTTGGGTTCGTTATTGGAGAAGATAAGATTTAGGTGCGTAATCTTCTCGTTGTACGTAACCCAAAATATGAAATAGGTGTTGAATTTAGGCATGGGCTGCCGGAGATAGTCTAACGCTGAATGTGAGGTTGCCGAGATGTAGACGAAGGATAAGGACTTATCCTCGGCCCTTTTTTACCTTTGCTACCACCAACCCGAAGATCTTTTCACCATTTCCGGCGACGCGACGCGACCGCTTTGTCCTGTTGCTGTTCCGTATCCGCCAGTTGCACGTCCCGTGCAGCGGTGCAGGGGGGGAATCACCGCGGCTCACCATGCTTTCACCGCCGGGACCCACAACCCAAGTAGCCAACGAGGGGGTCGTCGCGTCCACGAGAGCGGCAAACCAAAGCACGGAGCGCGCGGTCAGGTCCTCATCCGTCTCGCTCGCGTGGCGTCCGACGCGGCCGAAAATTCCGCGGGCGCTGGGCCGTGTTTTTTTTATCCGATCCGATCACCCTTCACCCCCATCCGGCGCTGCACAGGCGAGGCGACGACTTGTCACTGGGTTTCACGGTTCACGTCCATCTCTGCCGCTCGTAACCTAACGCTTTGACAAAACGGCGCCCCGAGCACACGTGGACACCAACTAGTGGCTTCCAGAGACTAATCCTCGACCCCTACTACAAACGTCAGCCGTACCCCTGCCCCCACAAGGCTAAAATTGCTTCGTCAGCCTGCCGACCTGTCGCAATAATTTTTACCGTCCCAGAGACAAATCTGGTGACGGTGTTATTATTTGTCCCGGCGGGTGGCCGGGTCAAGTCAGTCTCCACGGCAAATTAAAATCGGAGGAAGGGGGAAAGGGCCATAGCATCAGCAGCGGGGCTGTCGCCGTCGGCACGTCGCGGTGTGCCGGAGTAGGAGTAATAGTAGTAGTTTACTCATTGCGGCAGCGAGACGCGGGCGCACGCACATGCCCCCGGCCCGTTCTTATCGGCGGGCCACTCACGCTTTAGAAAAATCAGCGAGCGCGACGTCCCCGGCGCACAGGGCACAGGCGCACGGCTGACAGCGGCGTGATGGGCGCTGCCACGGCGAGCGGGCCCAGGAGCTGTCGCTGCTCGGGACCGGATCGACAGGTCAGTTTCTGGCACGGTGTGGTGTGGGCTGTGGGGTGAGTTCCTATTCCTGGCTCCTGGGTGGATGGACATTGCGAAACGAATCGCGAATTGTGTGTTCGTCTGATCTGGAAATCTGATCATTGAATGGACGCCAGCAGCTAAGGATCCAGTTCTTGCATGTTTTAGGCAGCAAGTTGGAGATGCTGCGAGTACCTTGAGATGTTGCTGTCCCTGAGCAACTTTACCGCTTAATTGAGCAGTAACGATGAGTAGTAATTACTAGCAGAGTAGCAGCATGTGTGAAACTTTTTCTTTCTTCAATTGAACAGCTCCTCGTACGAGAAACGAGTTACTACTGAAATTTACATTTTTTGCAGTTACTCGAAAGAACCGTGAGCTGTTTTTGCGCTGCTGTTCTCTTCCTTTCCCTACGAATCCAGGTCAGGTTTTGTTTACACTTCGTCGTTCATCATTTGCCCGCTAAAAAAAATAATTTGATTTATTTGCCAGCGACGACTCCGGCCTCAGCCCTCAGGGGGTCAAGAAAGCACCGCCAGAACGCTAAGCCGCGCGGTGCGCCGTTGACTCCCCGGTGAGGGCGACCAAATCCGAGCTCCGAAACGCCGGGGCCCGGCCGGCCTGCCGCTGCACCGTGAGAGAGCCGTGGCGTGCGCACACGCTACCGTGGTGGCTCGCGCTGCCGGTCCTTTCTCACCGGAGCCGCCGCGACCTCCTCTCCGCCTATTTGTCGCCCAATCGTTCATAGAGCAGACTGCAGCACGGCGTGTCGCGCGACGAGCCGCTCCAGCGCCTCGCGCATCCACCAGTGTGGGCACCCGTCCATCACCTGCTGCACCGTTGCCTGTTCCATTCAATCGCGAGCGCACGGTCAGATGACATGTTTTATACTATGCATTGGTTTATTTGCACATTAACGGATTGGTGTGGAGGACGAGAACTCACCCAGGTGCGTTTGCGGGACGCCATCTCGGGCCACTGGTGGAGCTCGTCGGCGACGCGGAGCGGGAACATGAACCCCTCGTAGGTCTGGTCCACGTAGCGGCGGCTCTTGTAGTGCCAGAAGCCGAGGACCGGCTCGGTGTCGCCGAGGACGCCGGCCTCCTCGATGGCCTCGCGCCGGGCGGCCTCGTCCATGGACTCGTCCACCTCCCACCCGCCCTTGGGGAACATCATGCCGTGCCCCTTCTGGGACGTGATCACCAGCACCTCCAGCTCGCCGTCGCACGGCCGCACGCGGTACGGGATGCAGCCCACCACGATGCGCCCGCCGGTGCTCTGGCTGTACCGCTGCAGCTCGCGCCCCTGCCTCGCCACCAACACGCCCATGGATGCGGATTCGTTCGTTGGTTCTCGGGCTTGCTTGCTGCTGAAGCGGCTGGCCGAGTTGGAGCTGGAGCCTGGAGAGTAGGATGGATGGGTGGATGGACGATGATGCTGCAGCTGCTGGCTTGCGGCCATGGAGCTGGGGATCAGGGGATTTTATAGCGTGTCAAGTCAATGGAATGCTGTGGGTGGTGAGGGTGCCGAGTGATTAACTGAGTAACATGCGTGGGCCTGGAGTATGGACGCGAGGACTGGCTGCCGACGTGGACAAGCCGAGCGGGTCGGATCTTCTGCGGCGTATGACGCTGCCTTTGCCTCAGCCTCAGGTTGGTCGCTGGTCTGAATCAGATATGTTCAGTTTTCGTAAAGGCTCAGGTGGCGTTTGGTTCCTGCTCCTAAATTTTAGTCGTTGTCCAATTAAATATTTGATACATGTAGGGAGTATTAAATATAGACTGATTACGAAATTAATTACATAGTTTATGATTAATTTGCGAGACTAATCTTTTAAGCCTAATTAGTTCCATGATTTGACAATGTGGTGCTACAGTACACACATGCTAATGGCGGATTAATTAGGCTTAAAAAATTCGTCTCGTGGAGTACTAATGGATTATGTAATTTATTTTTTTATTAGTATCCGAACATCCCATACAACATCCTTCCAACGTACGCCTCCTAAATTTTAGTCACGGTATTCAAACATCACCTTATTAGTTTGCTGAATATTTTTGACTTTTGTGAAAAGTAGTAGTAGCTAGGCTGATTGGCATTCTAGATTTCTGTACTAATAATGGTCTTTTACGTTACTGGACCACATGTTTTTTTCTCTCAAGAGGACGGCAAAAGCTTTAGAACAAGAAAAACAAAACAAGCAATTACAGCTCTCTATTTACATCGGCTTTGGGTAAGTTATTATCGGTTTTAATCCAGATAGCAGGGGTAAGAGTTCTCTTTGGGTAAGCCACTAATCCAGCTCTGATGTGTGTACATAAAAGGATAATAGTCAGAGTTATTTATTGCAAGAATTTAATCACGTTTCATCATTTTTCAACTTCTGACGTTGTCTTGACACCCACATCTAGTTTAGTTCTTTTAGGTAATCGCGGCATCCACATCAGCTACTGATGGCAGTAACATTTTACATTTAAAATACAAAATACACTAGCTATAATGTGTGAAATCCGATGAATAAAGCCATGCGTGTACCAACAACTCATGGCTATGCCAAAAGTATAATGGTTTTCACATGTAACGATCTTGTGGAGCTAGCTAGCATACATAAGAGACCGAACCTACTTTGGTATACTAGCTACTTCTAAAGGGTTGGGAACCTTTCGGTTTATCTTCTTGATCGTTATATTCAATTGGTGTGTGAACTGGTTGATCTAAATCACTAGCTGAGCCACAACAATTCTATTGTAAAAAAGCAGCCTTTTTCCCCGTTTTGTTTTGTTCCGTGGCCTTCGTTTTAGCCTATGAAAAAAGACACATAACCACCACCCAGAGGAAGCATCAGCACCATCCGATCCAATCAGGTCGACATCGCCGGTTCATATAGACCGTGTCCACCAAGGTCAGAGCAGAAGATGCCCATGCCCCCCGTGGCCCCGTCCCAGCCCTGAGAGCGAGGAGCTATTAGCAGATGATAGCGAACAAAAGCGCGTATCTGCAGGGCGAGTATGGCCGCGCGAACGTAACCCGCCCTTCGCAGTCGCAGCTCTCGTCGTCGTCGGCCGAGCGCCGGCCAAGCCGGCGCGTACGCGCATGCATGCGCGCCCTGCTCTCCTCCTCACCTGCGTATCAGGCAGCATGATGGCGCTTCCTTGCCTCAGTCGACAACCTGAAAGTCCATCTTTTCCATGGCTGCGGCCGGCATGCTCGCCCTCTCGTATAGTCTCCGTATCACTTCATTCCTTCGTCGACCACATCTGTCCGTGTCGTCACTGACGTCGCTGCTGCGCGTGTTACCCGAGGAGGTGATGCTTGCTTTGTTTATATATGGATTTATTTATTATTATTTCGTGGAAGTAAACCATTTGTGCTCAGTGATCATGCAAGTTGCATCATCGGTTATGCTATTGCTAGTGCTAGCTATGCATGCTCGTGGTGCCCACTGAAAGATGTAGAACATGATCACTAACCATAGATCTAGCATGTTTATTTGCTTTTGGAATAAACAGTGAGTCCTAGAACATCTACTAGTACGGGATTAATAGATAGAGTGAGAGAGAGGGGGGTGAAGGAGGTGCAAACCATCGGCCGCCTTCGAAGAAGACGGGCTGGCCATCGCCGTGCTCGGTGGAGACTTGGTAGAGGCGCGGTGGTGAAAGGCGACGGTGCAGTAGCGGCGTTGTCCACGGTCGTAGGTGCGGTCCAGTGGCGGCGGCGAAACTTGTGATGGTGCTTCCCGTCACTGGCTGCGCACCTTCTCTTAGATCCGATTAGGATAATGTCGGTGGGGCGGCTGTAGCTCGCCTAGTGATCAGAGCCGCCGGCCCCCACCTCTGTTTTTATAGCGCAGTGTGACGGAGGGCCCACCAACCATGTAGCGTTGGGCGTCTCCGATCAGAACGCGGATCCAATGGCCCAATTGGCCGGTGGAGATCATCTAACACCCACATCCACTTGTATGTGCTCACTACTGTATGTGTTCTGTGTTGTGCTGTGCCCGGTTCTCCTTTTGGCTTTTGCTTACTTGTGGATGTGGAGAACTGGAACAGTTGCGCAGCCGCCTGCCGATGAGACACCAATTCAAACGCACTGATGGCTGCCGACGTTCTTCCCCTTTGGAAGGCTCTTGGATCAAACGAACTTGCATTGGTTAGCAATGGCGCATGCAACAATTATAGTAATACACACACACGGTACTCTACTCTTCGATCGGTTGGCCTTTTGGCCACGTGAGGAAAATACGTACCACCGTGTGTACGTACTATCTAATACCCCTTAGCCGTCACGTCTCCCGGCCAGTAGGATGTGAAAAGCCGTTACGTACTGACGACGAGACGCACGTGCGAGTAATGCATTTGCTCCATGGGTGCGAGTGTGCGACGATGATCTGTCGTCATTTCTGGCGTTGTCACTGACGACGTTGCGGAATTGAGTAGAAATTGTGCATAGTTCGTGTACACACGCCCATGGAAACTGGTGGCTATGTTGCAGCCAGGTCCGGGACGATAAAGCCTAAAGGCGCGCACAAAGCAATCGTTGGAGTTTCCCACAGCTAGCTAGGGGTTGGTGGCAGTCGGGCCAAGCATAGTCCTCATCCGGTCTTCCTTCTTTCAATTCGGTAAATGGCTGGCTCCGAAGTTGCAAGAAAACAATCACCAAAGCAAGCACGATGTGATCCATCGAGTGTGACGACTGACGACCCAGTGCGCGCAAAATCTTTTCCGAATTCGCCGGTGGCAGCGCGGAGCAATACACGCGGGTGTGCTAGCATTTCGATCGAGAGCAGACGTGACAGCGAGCTAGCGATCGATCATATCGCGTCGTCATGCAGGGGAGCAAGCCAGCCGTTCATCAGATAGGTCAGGGGGACATGCCGCGCGGCGCTGCGACCCAGCGGCGCGACCGACGCGGACGTGCACGCGGCCGGCCGATCCCGGCCTGCAGCTCCACCCACCGGAATCGAATTAAACACCGCCGTCGCCGCGGCTACCAATCGACGTCGCGGCCTGGTTTTGCGCTCTCGACAGGCCATGCGTGCCAAAAGTTGACCCCCGGCCCGGCCGGCCGGCCAGCAGCCATGTCGATTTGGGCCAGTTGGCGTCGTGCACGGTCTCAGCCACCGCGGGCATGCAATGATGGAGGCGATCGAGATTGATGGCTCGATTGGCCAGCCGGCCGGTAGCTGCTAGCTGCTGATAGATAAGCTAAAGCCCCAGCGCTGTGGGGACACCGGCGTGCGTGCAGCTGTTCGATCAGTTGCTAGGGGTGTATCTCCGCTTTGTTTCCTTTCAGTTTCAGGTCACGTCCATCGTGCCTTGGATAGTTGAATGTGTCGTCGTCGTCGTCGTCTATGTGTGCTCTCTCGTTTATTCATTCGTTTCTTTCCATTCTCATGAAAGATGAAATCTCACGCCTTGATCCAGAGCTTTTTGGGCATATGCTGTATTTTTGTGTGCTGGAAGCAGGACGCTGTGCACTAGAGTACTCTAGCATTTGCGTGCTAGGACAGATGACTGTTAGTCTAGATGTAATTTGGGTGAAGTCTGACGCGACGACGACCGACGAAGACACATAGATAGAATTATGCAATGGCGCACGGTTGTTGGCACGTCCGTGCCGGGCGTGTGAACGCGACGACATGTATATGTGCATGCATGCGACCAGAGCTGGAATATAACCGCAGAGCGGCCATACTGATTTGCAGTCCTGCAGATATAGCTGCATTTTGTTATGACGCTCACGATTCGTGGTCAGTGTCGATCAGTTCATATATGTATGTATCGAGCTAACAGAGAGTCTGAAAGTCCAGCTCGAAATTGCGCCGCATGTACAGCAGCAGCCAGCAACTCGTCGGCTCGTGCATACTCACAGGCATGCACGCACCACTCAGAATGTTCTTTCCCTTTTGATTACCTCGATATGTATATATCTCGGCACAGTCTAGATAGGTCTCTAGGGTCGTTGGCCGATCCAGTGCCTTTTTGTCATATCTTACCTTTAAGGATGGCAATGGGTAAATCCCCATCGGGTATGGCCACCCCAGACTCATCCCCGCCATAAAAATTTGGTATTGCCAGAATACCCATACCCGCCATGGGTGGGGAATTTTCCCCATACCCATACCCGGCCGGGTAAATCATACCCGGCGGGTCACCCGTACCTGCCAATAATTTATTCACGCACATGAAAATCAACAATTCAACAGCAACCACCACTAACCAGAGCACATAAAATTAGACAAATAATATCATATAATAATATCTTCTGCAACCAGCAGTCACATTACACCATCACACAAAGTCATTCTGTCATAAATCATTATATTACAT